TAAACGGGGGATAAAGATTATATAAGATAATAAATGAGAGTCTCACAATTGGTGGAGAAGTTGGGCAGCAATTAGTCTGCCTATTTTTTGTTTTATGTAAACAAAAAAAAAAAAAAAAAGAGAAAAAATTTTTTTTTCGTCGCCTACTTTCCCAATTTTTTTTTTTCTCTCTATTCGTTATCCTTTATCGTATTTAACATTTCCTTATTACCGTACACATAATTCATTACTTTACTAACACTTCAAACATGAATAACAACAAACAACACTCACTAATCTATAATTCAACATTGCTTGATTCATTAAATTTACATACAAGTTCTACATCTTCATTCTTAACATCAACCAAAGATCAAGAACCAACATTAACTAATTTATTAAATAATAATCGTAGAAAAGCCATTATACCTACACCTAATCGACCAACAATTGTATCACAATCAATTTTTCATAAAAATCCTGATAATGAATCAACAATAAATACAATTACTGACCATATCGACTGTGAATCTTCTAAAGTTGCAAACAATTCGTCTAATACTATTAAACAAGACGAAATTATTACCAGTAAAGATCATCAATTACAAATAGCACAAAACGAAGAAGAACATCATTTCGATACATTTATTTTACAACATTTTGTTCCATTCTCTGGTAAACAATCAGTTAATCAATGGTTAGATGAAACTGAAAGTAAATTTAACCAATTCAAAATTTCCCGACATTTACGTTTCGAATCAATCTCACTTCTCGTTGAAGGGGATGCTAAACGTTTTTATATTAAAAATCGTAACGAAATTCGTTCTTATGACGATTTTTACGAATTTTTATTATTACATTTCGATAAAAATAGTTCCAATTCTTCTCAAGAACAATCTCATTCAACATGTATTATTAATACTTCCAATCAACAAACATCAAATCACGCTGAACAAACTATCGATTCTACAGAAAAATCAACAGATAGTTATGATACCACAACATTTACTCGTCCATCATCTACACATCCTCCCACTACTGTTGTTGATGTTGGTGCCACCAATATTACTGGTGAGATACTAGACCATAAATCAACAACCATTATTACAGATACTCCCACAATTCTGTTTGATCAAACTACGAATGATCTTCGAAAAGCAATTCTAGAGGATTTCATTAAACATCCTAAAATATTTAAAGGTGGTAAAGATAATGTAAATAAATGGATCGAGGATATCGAACACATGTTAGATATCGCACATGTTCCCGATCCTAGTCGATTAGATTTAATCTCCTATTCTTTACGTGGTGATGCTCTTCAATGGTACAAAAATAATAAAACTTTATTTACTTCGTGGTCAACTTTTATATATGAAATTAAACGAACATTCACTTCCTCGTTTCATGAAGAATTAGCATTCAAAAAATTGGAATCCTATACCCAAGGGGACAACCAATCAATTCGAAATTTCTTCAATGAAGTATTAAAGTTATGTAAAGAAGCTGATCCTACTATGAGCGAAACAACCAAGTTAAAAAATCTTCTCAATAAAACCAAATCAACAATCCAATTCGAAGTTCGAAAGAAAAAACCTACTACCACTGCTGAGTTTCTTGAATACGCTAAAGATGTAGAAGAATTATTTCAATTATCAAACATTACCATCGATAATAATAATAGCATTTCGTCGATTCCTAAAGGACAACAAGCATCTTCCTTAACTAATGTATCTACATCAGGTACTACATATTACAATAATTCGTATTCAAACAAATATACACCTGAATATTCAAACAAGCTTCGCAACAACAATAATAACACTTTTACTAATAGAACTAATCGAAATAATCCACAATCATCAACATTTACTTCATCATTTTCACGTTCACCTCAATCGTCAACAAATCAATCAAGAATTACGACTCAACAATATCCATCAAATAAATATAAGTCTTTATTTAATAATACTAGTAGTGGTCAGCCTCGATCTAAAACATATCAAATAAATTCTTCAAGTACTAATCAACCACGTCAACGTACTGCAAATACACTTTTTTCACTAGATACACCACCTGATACTAAATTGGAACAAGAATCTTTTCCATCTATCCTTTGTACACAATGTAATCAATTTGGACATGAAGCTTCTTCATGTCAAAATTTTTAATCACGGAATCAGCGACAGATGGTGGTGATTCCGACGAAAACAATAAAAAACCATCTAAATCATCCTTAATTTTCATTACCACATTCGTTAATACACGTAAAATAAAAATTTTAATTGACACAGGAGCGACCACCACTTTCATCAACGCCAAAGTTTTGCAAAATATGAAACATCTTCATTATGTTCATCAAACGCCCTATTCTTTTGTATTAGCCGATGGAATGGCGCCGTTCTATGTACTGGGATTAGTCGAATTATCAATTCAATTTGCTGATTCAATAACAACAATTCAAGCTCATATTGCCCGAAATTTATGTGCAGATATGATTCTTGGTATGGATTACATCAATTTATATAATTTGAATATTAATATCCAACAACAACTTGTCTCTATTCAGCATCGCAATCATACCTTTACTATGAACATTGATAAAGATTTTATATTCCGTAAAATTCCAGTTACTGTGTCCAAACCAATAGTCATTCCTCCTCGATCAAATCGTTCCATCGTAGTGTCTGTTCCTGTTTCATCAATTTCTTCTTCATTTGTTCCTACTTATCGTTTACATACTAACGCTTTATTACGCACCACCTATACATTTCTCAACTTTCACAACTATTTCTCTAACGTTACGTTTTATAATACTTCCTTACGTCCTCGTTTTATTAGAAAAGGTGTTTGTGTCGGGTTTCTAAGTTGTAATTCTCTATCAAAAGCTCCTCCGATACTGTCGTATTCTCTGCATAAGTCATTTGGCGTCACCGGATATTCCGGTAGGACACCAGCCTCTTTTGATTTTAATACAGATAAAATAGTTACTTATCAACAATCAGTTGGCGTTACCGGATCTTCCGGTATGGCACCAGTCTCTCATGATTTTGATATAGATGAGATTGCTAGTTGTCAGAAATTATTTGGAGCCATCGGCTATTCCGATGTGACACCAGTCGCTTGCGATTCTGACACAGATAAACGCGCTTACTATAAGGTACCGAACCATCCTACTCAAAATGTTATTTGTAATACTATAAGCTCGTTAAATCCTATAGTTGAAGAAAACATTCGTACATTAGTTCAGAAAATTAATAATAAACCCCGACAAGATCAACTTTATTCTTTATTAGTTCGTTTTCATCGCACTTTCGATACCACTAAGCATAATATTGCGAATACACCCATTAATCACGTTATTCATACTATTCCTCATTCACCACCAGCCTGTCGACCGTATCCGCAACCGGATAAGGAAGAAGCGATGTATAAGTTAGTTCAGGAATTTTTACAAGCTTATATCTCTACAAATTTACTTTTGTTAGTAGGTCATCTTCGATAATGTCGTACGTTCATCATTCCCATTCCAATAATCAATCAGCATTTTCTCGTAGTTCGTTGTTGCCGTTTCCGAATTCTTCGGAAAACAGCAGTCCTACAACTACTTCGAGAAATAATGATTTAATGTTACATACTGCTCCTCAACCACAGTCAAATCCACATCAACGTTTTCTCAATCGATCTATATCAAATTGTCCAAAACATCTTAAAGGCAAAAAACGAGCTGACTGGTTAAAAGCTGGAAAAAAGGCTCAACTAAATCATCAATTAACATCCACCACAAATGCCTTTCAATGGCCTAAATCATATTATGATACTCCCATACATATTCATCATCACACTCCCTTAAATACTATTGAATATCTTATACAGCAAGTTTCGAATGTTCATTTATTTACAATCGATACTGAATCAGATAAATCGACCAAGAAACAGCCTAAATCGATTCCTGCATTAATACAGATTCAAGCTATTCACAATGAGCATTCAGCTAATGTTATTCTCATCGAGGTTCAACATCTTCCTCATCAATCAACATTCCTCTTTTCGAACAATTTCATTTATTTGATATATCACATATTACGAATACTTATAACATTCAAAAACACTTTACAGATGAATGGAATAAAACTCATCCACATACCAATGAATGCTTAAATTATAATCATTCAACACAAGACAATGATGATTCTGATGATCTCCTTATCTGTCTTGTTAATACTGACGATCTTCTTGATGATTCTATTTCAACTAATCGTACCGATAATATTAATACTTGTATTTGTCCGGATTCACATCGACCATATAAAGCTAAAAATGAACTATGGTCTTTACAAAAAGCTATTAAACTAACATTGGATCAAGCATTAGATAAAGCTATGACTTTAAATTTATGGTCATGCGGACTTGATCAACATCTACACACGTGGAATACCGATTGGGATAAATCTACTCGAGAATCGTTAATCTCTTACGCCATTAACGATCTCTTTGCACCAACACAATTATATTTTCATCTCAATCCAACAATTCTTACCACTCAAACATCTAATACTTCATCTCATCTTCATTCAATCATGCATCATCCAGTCATTACTACACCATTATTTCTCATCTTATCGGATAGTCATGGTAAACATCTTCAATCTACGATTATCACGTCAAATTATCGTATTATTACTCGATCTATTTCTGGTCTTCAATGGATAAATAAATATGATCCTAATTTATGTACTCGTTCACTCATCTTATCTTCATCTATAACTTCCATCTTATCGGATGCTACTGGTGTGTTATGTATTATTGGCACCAATTCCGTTCGTACAACACATACCTCCGATATTATTCCACAGATTGAAGATATTGTTAATCTTATTCGTGTTCATAATCCTCATCTGACCCACAAACATGGTATTACCATTGTCGAAACATTTCCATGTTTTAAAGTGTCAAACACTTTTCCATCAATTACATCGTTATCAAATAACATCGCTATTTATAACAAAGAATTACAACTATTATCTGAACGTATGAAATTTTCGTGTATTAATTTTCATATTACGTATGACCATTTACATCACGATCAAATGCATTTACACCACCAACATCAAGATTTTCTTCATGATACGATCATGAATTATTTCCATATGTTAATCGAAAAGAAATTAATAATCAGTCAAAATCAACGTCGATCTCGTCCAGCTCTTACGAGAAGGAACAAGAAAAGACACGAAAAATTACGAACAAAACAACAACATCATACACTTATTCGATCGATCAGTCCTTTATGGAAATTACATGATATTAAGCAATATTTATCATACTATAACATACAATATGCTCGACTACCTGAAATTTATAAACATCGACTCCGTATTCAG